TTCCAGCAAATTCCTTCATAATTATAATTTTATTTTGTTCAATTTTGTTGTGTTTTGCTTCTGAAATAGCCAGCTCCAAAAAAAGAAATACTATGTCCTCTGTCCCTAGTCCTTGACTTCAGAGGTAGCAGCATCTTCCACAGAGCTTCTGTTAATTTAGGAGCTTGTCCTTTCAGCTCATTTGCTAGGGCTCCACATTTATCTGTGCTGCACAGCAATTATACCGATTTAGTCTGTGCAGTTTTACATTTCAGGTTTTCTGCCTGAAGGGTATCTTTGAAGTAGATCTTCGTCTTTCAGGGAGAAATTACTTTGCCCTTTGTTACTGTGCCTCCTCCTTTAAGCCTCCATGTTCTTACCCTTCAGAGCAGCTCACTGGACTGGCTCAAACATTTCCTTGACACGTTCCCCTGACACCTGGCCTTGGATTACTTGCTTTCTCCACGTGCTTTCTTGATGCCCTTTGGAGCAAAAAGCCCTCCAGTAAAGGGCTGATCCTCCTGAGTGAAGAAATGGAGCAGGTGTGGAGGGCTGTTGCTCCCCACCCTCCAAGACCTTATTTATTTTTACTCAAAGGAAATTTGTCATGATCTAACAAGAAACAAAAAGTACTCAAGTGCTGGTGATTGCTGCTCCCCTGGCCTCGCTATTTTGGCAGTCTTGCTCTTGGCCCTGGCATTCCTGGTAAGAGACAGGGTGTCAGAGAAAGTAGGGAGGAGCTGGTCCCATTTCCCTGTCCCTGTCAACTGGAAGTTGTCTTGTTTGGGTGCCACAGGAGGTACTTAGGATCCCCTGAGCTTGGCAAAGTAGCACAGACCACATCAGCACCAGGCTCTCACCACACGGCCCCCTCTGCCGTCACTTCACGGGGCTTCTCACCCTCCCTCTGCAGCAGCGTGCAATTCTAATTAAAAAGGAAGAAAATCTGTATCATCTTCCTCCAAGTGCACAGTCCTGATTTTTGCATGGGCATGCGAGGATGTGACCTGAAGATTATATAATTAGAAGGCATTTGTTATGCTTGCGTTTCAAATCAGTGATTTGACATGTGACAGTCCCATCCTGGGAGCCACCATTGCTCTCCTCTCTTTCTCTCCTGTCTTTCACAGTGCTAATTCCCAACTCTAGCAACTGCTGCTGCTGCAGGATCTTCATCTAGCCTGGGGTAAGTTTAAAATGTACTTGGAATGGGATGAAGAGTGGGATTAATCATACAGTTTTTCATATTACTGGAAAAAGCTAGAGTTGTAACTATTTGATATCGTGTGTGCAGCACATAAAGTACTTAAAGTATTTAAAGTACTTTGCATCTTCAATGCCCACAGTTATTTTCAGCTGATTTCTTCTAAAACTCTGTAGGGAGATGGAGCTCCTTAGCGTGCAGGACAATTCTGTTAGGCTGCATTTATAGTGAAGTCTCTAAAATGTCAGTTAAAAAGACCTTTTTTTTGCTCTCACCATCTAAGAGCTAAATTGAAGTATCGTGTTGAATTGAAGTATTTGAATGACAACTGCATTAGAGTTAGCTGGAGACAAAATGCAAGAGTGATGAGAGGAAATAACAGATTTTTTGTTCTCTTTAGAGGACGGGGAGTTGCTCTCCAAGTGGGATATTTAAAACAGCAGCAATTTCAGCCAGCAGGACTTAGACAGTTACCAGGAAGATCCCAAACATTTATTTAGGAAAACCATGGATTCTTAACAACTGAAGTAGCAAAAGTGCACACAGATTCCCCTGCACTGTTGCCCATGTCATGATTTCATGAGAAGCAGAATGGCACAAAAAGCCAAATAGTAGCTGTTGTCCACCAAGGCTAGGATTTACTGAACTTTGCCTGTTTGCATGCTGATGCTTGGTGTTGTCTCTCTGTCTTTTTAATACGTGATCCTCCACACAGCTGATTGTTTCCATGCGGGGGGAGCACTGGGAGGGTGAGCATAAACGCAGTGCAGGCTGCAAAAAACCCACCCCTGTGTTGTCTCAGCAGCACGTCGCTCCAGCCTTGTCACTCCAGCCTTCACCTCCATCCGTGCCTGGGGGATAGCTAAAGAAGGCAACTCACTGGGACTCCCCCATCCCTCCATCCACACCTTCTCCCCTGGGGGAAGTGGGTGCCGGCTCAGGCTCTGTTGGTGCTCACTGGTTGCCTGCTCTGCTTGGCGGGAGGGGCTGCAGCACCAGCTGCCTGTGCCAGGCACCAGGGCAGAATTCTTTGTTGGTCACCAGTGGCCAGCATGGCAATCACCAACAGCAAAGGTGGCACTCAGCTTTGGTTCTTAGGCTCAGCATATTTGGCTGCTGGAGAAAAGATAAAAACAAAAGGGGAAAATACAGTCTTTTGCCATGATGGAGGAATGTAGTGGCTTTAACATCTTGAAACTATTCTCTGGGCTTTGCTCCGAAGATGTTATTCTGGCTTGATAGAAGCTGCAAGAATGTAAATGAGTTTTAATGCTCAACTCTGAAAAAACAAGCACATCTTTGCCATTTCTTGTCCCTAAAGCAGGGGGCCA